TGTCTGCCACGACTAACGCGCTAATTTATTTACAGAAATTCTCGTGTGATTATCTTACGATTCAAGAAACGAACGACCGATCCCGATAAAAATGCGCGACTCTCTTCTTTCGTTAGTTAAAAAGGCTCTTCATTCTTTATGCCGCGGAATGATGAAAGAACCATACCTGTTCGATGACACTCGATGAAGAAATGAGAGTCCGCTGCGGTAAATTGGCCTTCCTGGGTATCTATGCAAGGAATCAAAATGACTTGGCGAAGGAGGGACGACTAGATGAGAAGAAGGAGGAAGAGAACAGATGGAAGCAACGGATGACGGAAGGGAAGGATGACAACGTGGACGACAACGGTGGAGGAAACGGGAAGTGGAGGGAGAGGGAGCGTGCGGAGTGGTTGCAGTGGAGCAGAAGTTGAAATGTCTGCATCCATGGCAAAATCAACAACCTGTAGATACGAGCTACCGGCTGGCGCTATTGCGACGGCAATAAGGTAACAAAGAAATCATGTTACCGCTCTATGGAGCACCACTCGAGGAGAGTAAGAGCGACGAGGCACCCGTGCAAATATTTCCCCGCCGAGATTCCGGGATCACACGTGTGCGCGACTGCGACATCGCAGGACCCGCTTTTGAAGAAGAGGGCTCGGAATGTTTTGTTCGACACGACGGAGTCGTTCCTTCGACACACGAGGGAAAAGTCCTTGATTCCTGTCGCATCTTCTTAAATTCACATTTTTTTGTATATACCGCCCGCGTTTGTTATCAACTAGCTAGCTCCTTAACGAAACTTTTTCTCTCATCTTCTTTCTTTGTACACAGGGAGAGATTTCTCTTGCTAAAAATGCTATGCGTTAACGGTTCCTGACTTAAAATGACGAAATTACGAAGGCTTCAGCGAACTTAAGCTACAAGAATGATAATTGAGAAAAACATTTTGTTCTTCTGGATTTTATTTTTGTAAAATATTATCTAGCGGCTTTGGCTACTGAACTATTTAATTCCACGGGAGGGGAAATAACAAAAGGCCTAGTTAAATTATAATTTTTTTACGAGAATTTTGAATTGATTATCAAATGCGTTCATATATATATGTCAATATAAAACAAATGGATTATTATAATAATAAAAAGATAAATAAATAAAAATAAATTAGAATTATTATTTTACTATTATTTTATCTAGATTCGCTGTAATAATGCATAAAGTAATACATCTTGAAATGCTCGAAAATGGCGAATTACAATGATGGCGCTCTCTTTACATTAATTGAAATTAAAATATAATTTTAACATTTCGGTCATGTCAGTTGGCTTTGAGCATTAACTAGAAGTGCATTCTGCTAAAAGGTAATTTTTTAAATATAAGCCCGGATTTTTTCACAACTTGCTTTACAAGTTAAAAATGACGTTCACCTTCTGGACAGAAATATATGTCCATTCGAAAAAATATGGTAATTCGGAGCTGAAATTTAAATCCAAATTTTAGTACGTTTTATAGCTTTTTTTATATCTCTTTTTGTATTATATGGTACATTTATATGGTTATTTTCATATTCTTCGCAATTACACGAACAGCCATTAATTAAATAACCACATTTGTGCGAAAAGTGGCTAACAATTACTTCATCACGACCAATCTCTTAAATTTTTGGCAAAATTTTTAGTGGTTAAATAAACATAACGTTGTTTACAGCGGCCGTAACCGAAAAAAATGAGTTTATAGTCGATTCCCTCGTGCGCAACTACATGCAGTCGTTACAACACGTCGTTGGTTACGATAATTGGCTCCGCGCGTCGAAATAGTAATTTTGCCATTCGACATATCGCATTCGCAGAATTGCGTCGCGATATGCGGTACTGAAATAATACGCTAACGCGGCCGCGGGGAATCTCTCGCGTTTCAGAATCAATTACGAGCTCGCGAATTATGCTACTGTTTTATTTTCTGCGTTTTTTTCTTCTTTTTCTCTCTCTCTCCTTTGTTATTTTTACGTTGATGAAAAGTACGAGAAAGAGAGAGAGAGAGAGAGAGAGAGAGAGAGAGAGAGAGAGGAGGAGAGAGAGAGAAAACATACTCTAATACCGACGATAATTATCGTCTCTCGACGATAATTATCAAGTCGTGAAGACGACCGCAGATCTTCAAAGGCTGCGATGTTTCGAAATTGCGATGTTTCTCGAAGGGGCCAAACTTCTTAATGAAAACGGGTAAGGCAGCGAAATGAGAGTAGAAAAGGAGCCGCTGCTGCCGCCACGCAAAGTAGCACATTAAGTTCCGAACCGGGTGGTCCGTTCTCGTCTCGCAACAGCGCGGCCATTTTTCAGTGATAACACACCGTGAGGGCCGTCCTTGCGATAAAATGCGACGAACAATTGCGGTATCTTCCAACGCGAACAAATGGGGCAGGTGCCATTCAGACCCGCCTCAGATAACGGGAATCCCATCGTCCCAACATCAAGAAATATTGTTACTTGTTTCTTTTATTATTCACTAATTTTCAATATTCTTGTTTATATTTTAATTACCGAACTATAATTTTATTTATTAATATCATTGAATTGAGAAAAAATATAAAAAATAATAAAAAATAACATATGTATATTAAATTATATGTATATTATACATACTTTAAATTTAAAATCAAACCTTTTAATTTTTTTAACGAGATCAACTTTACGGCTATATTCCTCTTATTTTATTGCGTGTAAACTATTTAAAAGTAGCGTAATGCGTAAATTAATATCCTATATAGTGAGTAATTCGATATTAATTAACACAGTTTTATTAATATGTTTCAATCATAAATAGAAACAATTCCAAGCAGACATAGACACGTCTTACAAGAAATTACAAAAAATTCAGAATTAGACAGGAGATATAAACTAAGTGAGATTGAATTCAGATATCAATTCAACAAATATATGAAAACAGTTTCTCGTTTTAACCCTGGCAATGAAATCGTGACAGATCCATGAAGTATATTTTTTCACCTCTACATAATCGAAAAATAAACCAGTGCATCGAAGTTATATAAACTTCAATATTTGGCTCAAAAAATTCGAATTGCAGAGCGAATTCACTAGACCCAAATGAAAAAAAACAATCAAATTGAAAAGCAATTTTTGTTTTCGCGTTTCATTATGATTATATCCTTCTACAATGTAACGAAAAAGCGAAAGACAAATCTGTGAGAAAGAAAAACATAATTAAAACGTAATTGTAATATTTAAAACTAAAAATTAATATCAAAGATATATATATATATGTAAGTCAAATTTTCTACGAAAAATTCGGGAAGAGAGTGCTCTTGGAAAATTGAATTCTTTTGAAATTTTCGCGAGGAAATTCGGAGAATTCCTCGTCACTCGATCGCGCGATTCGCCCCGCTCGCTCGCGCGAGCGGACCGACATCAAGCGAGCCAACAACTTTTGTCTTTGGCCTTTTTCGGCAGGCACATGAAAATGCATGAGTAGGTAGCCTTGGCCCGTGTGCCTTCGCCCCTGTGTACGGGCACCGTACCCGTACCGGTTACCCCTGGAAACCGGTATCGATTTCAACCCTCAGCTATGCAGTAGGAAACCAGCACCAGCACCCATGGGGGTCTCTTCACCCTGGTTTCGACGAGGCGCACGGAGCCCGTTTCGACACCCGA